GTAGCGTGGGCCCGCCGGCGGCGAACCGCCTCCACGCCCTGCCCGTGGCGGCGACCTCCTGGCGAAGCTTGGGGCGCGGGCGGGGTGGTGGGGGCGTGTCGCCGCCCGCGCCGCAATCGCTGGGTTGCGGGTGCGAGCTTGCGCGCGGCGGGGCCACGCCATGCCTGAGGTAGCTGGATAATCGCTCGCAGACCGAGACCCGTCCGGCTTTTCTTTTGAGGTGGGAGCCGAGTATAAGGAAGGTACGGAGAAAGCATCGATCGCTGCAGAGATATGTGCCAAGGGCAAGGCGCGCTCTGGGCACTGGCCTCTTGGGGGGGCGCGGGGGGGGGGGCCGGAGGCACCGTGCGCCGCGCAGCACTAGCACGGGCGGGCCTGTGTGTGTGTTCCACGGTGGCTCCCTTCCAGCCTGCGTGAGCGTGTGCACGTGATTTGTGAGCAACAAGCGGTTGTGTCATTTTCCGTGCGGCACATCTCTGAGGGTACAATGTGCACCGCCCACACGACGCCGCACACGGGTGACGCTCTCTGGACTCTGCCGGCCCTCGGCGCGCCTCGATCTCCGCCTCTGTGTCGCATTCGCAGTTCGCACACTCAAGCAAGCCCCTATAGAGCCTAGTCAAGCCCATTTCAATCACTGTCCCGGCCGTTCTGTCTTGAGAGTTTACGTGGTACCAGCAGCAATCGCAGTGTAGTTTAGTAGGAGAAGTAGTAGAAGTGGAGGGGAGGTTCGCAACGTGCTCTGCAGCGGCCAGTCGAGCAGGCCCTTGGCGGCCGGAGCATCTAGTAGCCCAAAGACATCCTCCCGGCCACGTCGAAAGAAGCCCGATTGACGGTCTCAACGGGTGCCACTGCCGTCGCGTTGACGGTGATCACTTCCGCCTCAATTGCCGGCACTGGTCGCGCCTAGTCGGCACAGGAGAATTGTCACGTGCCAGTGCCCCCCTCCCCCCCCGCCCCCGGGTACTACTGAGCTAGATCGCGCGCGCCTCAACAGCAACCGGCCAAACAGGCGCATAAGCTGCGGCGCCCTCGTTATTTGCATCGCGGCCGTTCTCAAAATCCATGCGGTGCTCAACAGTTTCGACGCCAGGCATTGATGCCCATGCAAATGCGGTTGCCGGCGCGCCGTCGTCGTTCGAGTATAGCGATGCGAGGGGCACAGCGGTGACAAGTTCCACGGGTACCTCATACGTTCTCATTGAGAGCGGCCGCACATTGCTCGGTACCCCCCCTGCACATCTAAAGCCATCCCTGCTGCTAAGGGGGGGGGGGGGGGGTCCCCACCCCTCCAGATTCACAAAACGCTTCTGGGGGGGGGGGGGGGGGCCCCCCTTGCTTTTAAATTGGCAGGGGGGGACCCAGGTTTGGGGGGCCCCCCCCATCCCCTGAAACAAAAATCCCCCCCCTCCCCCCCCGCCCCCCCCGTCGCCCCCAGCGGTGTGCAAGCCGTTTTGTGAGGACAAGACGCAGGCCTGGGATGATAAGTGCACCTGGGGGGGCTGCAATGGCTGCACCGAGTGCTGAGGACCAGACGCAGGCCTGGAACATGACAAGTGCAACTCAAGCCCATTCATGATTACAATGAATAACTCAACTCATCCTTTGGCAGCTTGTATTGTTGAGTATGCGTAGTCATGACGTTTGGTATCCATGAATATGAATAGTCACGTCTGCCTGTACTCATGAATATGAATAATGTATTCAAATACAAGTGCGTGAGCAACTTGCAGGTATCCGAAGAAAGGCGTCCCACTCGGGTATGTCGGCTGCTGCCGCTCTCGCCTTGCTGGCGGCGCGGTCTAGTGCCGCGACTCCCAGCCCTCCTGTGGGCCCGCGGCGGCTCGCCGCTGCGGTTCTGAACAATGTGATCGGTCCGGGCTCGTCCCGGCGTACCGCCGGTGCCGCTTCTTCGCCGAATTTTTCCTCAGCCTGTTAGTCGACAAAGTTGTGCCCGAGCTGCTGCTGCTCGTTTGGGCGGCGTAACCGGGTCCTCGCGGCCGAGATGCGGTGCGCCGACACCTGGAACACCTCTGCCGTCCCATTGCGCAGTTTTGGGAATGCAGAATTGCTGTCTGACGGGTTGATCGCGGTCTGAGCCTCGCCGCTGCCTCCCGAGCCAGGCGGAGCAGGCGCAGGCGCATCAGCCGCTTCTTCCGGAAACGTTTTGTAGTAGTGCTCGAGAATGGCGCCGGATACCGCACCAGAACTTTGTGCTTTCGAGGTCGCTCCTCTCCAGCGATCCTGTGCCGTCGGTGCCCATCTCCTGCAGCTGAAAGGCTTGTGTCGGCTGGGCGCCAGGCTGCATGCGGTGAGCGATCTGAAAGTCAAGCACCGTGCACAGGTAGTCCGCAGCTTTCTCTTCGGCCGTCATTCGCCCTTCCCAGAACGACCCGGGGAACTTGACCTGCGTGCCGAGAAGACTCATCGGCTGCCGAAGCAGCTTGTATTTTGGCACATCTAGCCGAGGCTGGGCTCTTCCCTTCCTCTTTGGTGGCATATGCGAAGCGCTGGAGCAGAGACAGCGGTCGGTCGACCGGGAGCGCGTTTTGGGACTCTGGGAGAGTAGTATTCATGGACTTGAGTACATTTACTCACGCATGCGCCAGCCGTACTCATGAGTATGAATACTCAACTGCGGTGGTACTCATGAGTTGAGTACTCACGATGCACGTGTATTATGAGTACAATACTTGAATACTATTGTAATCATGAATGGGCTTGGTGCAACTGGGGGGGCTGCAACGGCTGCACTTAGTGCACCCCTGCTTGGCTGAGATTGTCCCTCGGACTTTGGCACTGCTCGTGGGCGGCGGCCTTCTGCAGTGTGGGGCGGGTTGGGGCTGCTCGTGGGCGGCGGCCTTCTGCAGTGTGGGGGGCGGGTTGGGGCTGCAGGCTGCTCCGGTGCTCGTTCGTGTGAGCGGGGCGGTATATGAAATCTGAGCTCCCTGCGAGAGCTTGATGCGAGCGCATGGGTGGAGTAGCGTTTGCCCTTCCAGCTCCGCCGTCTAGCGCCGGGCGGGGCTCGCGTGTCGCGAGCGCGTAGATTGTGTGCGCGGAGTGTAGAGCCGTATCGCGTATATGGCAGGGTGGCGGCACGCGTGCACGGTGCAGCACTGCCAAATAATAGTACACACCAAGAGCCGTGCGCCAACACCACTCGCCTCCGAGGGGCGACACGCTGGGCGCGCGCCACAGACACAGACAAGCGGCTGGCTGCTGGGCGGGCCTCCATGGCTCCGCGAAACCACTGGGCGCCACGTCTCGCAACTAATCTCGAGGGGCCCAGCCCGAGAAACGGAGGGCGAGGGGCGCCGCCGCACCGCCTCCGCCCTACCCACCCGCCAGCACGCCCAAGGCTACACCTCGTGCTCCGTCGGGAGGATGTCCCACCACGTAAGGCCGTTGAAGGTGACCGGCGTCGGCAGCAGCCACAGCAGCGAGCAGGGCCGGCCAAACGTCTCCGACAAGTTCTGCACCTACGTTGCGAGCACCACGGCTTTTGCTCGCCGCCCCTCGGACCCCGGGCTGCGTGCCTGACTCTCTCTCCCTCCGCCATCGCGCGCGACTTGCACTCGTGTGCAGAAAGGGGCAGATATCGAGCCGTGTCTTCAGAGCATCACGTGCATACGAGGGGCTACGAATACGAATACAACGAAGGCAGCTCACACAGCCGGGCACGTCGCATCGCGCGTGCAAGTCGGAATACGCGGACCTGTGTCCGCATCTAGGCCTCGAGATCCGGGGAGAGATGGGGAGTTGTGGATCGGCATTGCGCGTCTAGAGCTCGAGATCTGGGGAGATCTGGGGAGATCTGGGGAGATCTTCCGCATCTGGAGCTCTGCACCGCGGAGCGTCTCGGCGGCGCATAATCGTTTTTGAGCCGCTCGATGCCGGTTTGGTCGGTGAGGATGGAGCTGAGCTGCTCGCAAAACATCGCCTGGCGGCACGAGACCGCCCGGGGAGATCAGCCGAGACCCGCCGGGAAGACTACTGTACCCTAGATTACCCGAGGTCGCCCGAAGTGGACTGAGCGGCTCGCAAGAGACGCTGTCACTGGCGATATCTCGCCGACATCTCGGCGATATCTCGGCGATATCTCGGCGATATCTCGGCGATATCTCGGCTTCTCCACCTAGATCCGCACGATCTCTCGGCGATATCTCGGCGATATCTCGGCGATATCTTGGCTGCATCTCGGCGCGTCTCGGCTGCATCTCGCCGAAGTAAAGAGGCCGAACAGCAGCGCCTCGAACAGCAGCAGGAACATATACAGCATCGAGACGGGCTCTTGCGGGCCTAACGTACTCATGCCTGTTGTTACTCAGCAGGGACGGTGTGCGGCACTGAGGCAGGGCTCAGCGGAGTGCGCGATACCAGCCACACCACCCACGGGACTGGACCCACAATGGATTCGATACTACTTGGGGGAGGTGTGGTACTAGGCTATTGCGGGCGGTGCGAGCGCGTGATACTCCCATACCTCCCCCTAGCTCCCCCTATCTCCCCCTAGCTCCCCCTATCTCCCCCTATCTCCCCCGTATCTCCCCGTATCTCAGGCTCTTGCGGGCCGTGCGAGTGCGTGGTGAGGAAGAGGCGCGGCTCGTTGAGCGTCGCCTTAGGGCCAACCAGCGATGAATGGTCAATCAATTCTCATTCTGAGTCTGACTATGCCTATGGCCCGTCGCCTGAGCACCACCCCAGTGATCAATCACCCAACCACCCTCTGCTGGCGAGCAGCCGGCGCGAGGCAGGAGGAGAGGTCGCCATCAGCCGCAGGACGAGCAGAACCATGGCGTAGCCTGTGCAGGAGCGGCTCAATGATGAGTCCATGAACAGCCGCCCGCCGCGACAGCAGCAGCAGCATGGCGCGGGCCGGAGAGCAGCGCCGTGTAGCCAACGAAGAGCACAAAGTGCTTCTGGTTGTTTGCGCCGACGCAGTTGTTTACCCACGGGCAGTGGTGGTCCTGTGTCCGCGGCCGGAGGGCGGCGAAATCTCGGACAGACCTCGGCGAGATCTCTGCCAGATTGCGGCTAGATCTCGGCGAGATCTCGGCCAGATCTCGGCGAGATCCTGGCAAGATCTAGGCTAAGGCAATGGTGGTCCGGCCGGAGGGCAGCACTAAGGGCTAGGTCTCGGCTAGGTCTCGGCTAGGTCTCGGCTAGGTCTCGGCTAGGTCTCGGCTAGGTCTCGGCTAGACTCGCGCGCCATCTTCATGATACAGCGGTCGCACTGAGAGCAGTGGTGCGCGCGCGGAGGCTTGAAGCCGTTGCAGCGCGAGCACATCGGCAGCGCCTGCTCACAGCTCCCCTCTCAGCGGCAAAGGTGTCTCGTCTCTGCGCGAGCGTGGGATGGTGGGATGTGTGGTGTGTGCGCTGCTGCTGATGGTGATGGTGGAGGTGGCGGTGTGTGGCGTGCGTGCGTGTGTGTGCGTGTGCGTGCGTCTCTCTCTCTCTCTCTCTCTCTCTCTCTCTCTCTCTCTCTCTCTCTCTCTCTCTCTCTCTCTGTGTGTGTGTGTGTGTGTGTGTGTGTGTGTGTGTGTGTGTGTGTGTGTGTGTGTGTGTGTGTGTGTGTGTGTGTGTGTGTGTGTGTGTGTGTGTGTGTGTGTGTGTGTGCGTGTGTGTGTGTTGGGGGCCGCCGCCGCCGCTGCCGTCGGTGGTGGTGGCGGCGGCGGCGGCGGTGGTGGTTGTGTACACTCGTGCGCACACACGCGTGGTGGTGGTGGCGTTGTGTGTGTGTGTGGTGGTGGTGATGGTGGTGGTGGTGTGTGTCTGTGTGTGCGTGCGCGAGGTCGGCGGGTCGCCTTCTCGTCGTGCAGCAGCGCGGACGGCGTGTACTCGTGCGGTACAGCACCTGTGGACATGTCGTGGACATGTCGTGGACATGTCGTGGTTGGCCTCGCAGAGCCGCAGAGAAAGAAAGAGGGAGAGAGGGGGAGAGCGGGAGCGGGAGGGGAAGGAGAGCGGAGGAGGAGGTGTTGGCGCCAGGATCGGTCAGCATGGTCCGGAGGTGGGAGGCGACGGCGAGAGCGGAGATGAGCAGGAAGGCAAGGCCAAGCACGCATGACCCTGCCGACAGGCCGAGCCAAGGCGGCAGCAAGTGCGTGCACACAACCTGTGCACCGTCGGGCGGTGGCGAGACAACGGTTTTGTGTGCGCGCGGGAGCAGGGATAGCAGCGCGGGCGTAATGGTGGCGGCGGCAGTGCATGGCTGCTGCGGTGGGCGCGCGGTGGGTGTGCAGCAGCGTGCGGTCACCCAGTCTGCGAAGAAGAGCAGGATGTAAGTCACGCCGGCGCAGCAGATTCCGCACGGGTCGCTGTGCACGCACCAGAGCTCCGAGCCGCTCATGGGTGGCGACAGAGGAGGACCGGGAGGACAACAAAGGCACACAATGGCGGCGCTGGGTTAAAAAGTCTTTGGGCGTATGGTAGAATTACCAAACACAGAAATTGCTAGAGGTGGAGCAAGCCCGCTCTAGCCTCGCATATCACTTCCTGTCGTCTGTTGTTTGTTGTGCCCTTGTTTGTACTCTTGGCACCGTGGAGTGCTGGGGGGGGCGACAGGGTCATGTGGCCTTGATTGAGTTATGTGTTTGCCGACTCAGGGTGTGTGGCAGCCAGCTGGCTGTGTGTCTTGTGAGCTTGTTTGTGTCTGTGTGTCGCTCGTGCGTGTCGTCATCATCTGTCCAGCGTCCACCCATACCGCGTTGGTGTCCAGTCCGAGCCTGGCTGTTCTTCACCTTACTACCTACCTACCTACAGAAAGTAGGAGGAGGCGGGTGTGTGTGTGTGAGTGAGTATTCTTGATACGAAACCACGACGACACACACCAGTCGACTCGTATCGGTTGCCTCCATGAACGGCGGAGCTATTCTCGCGCCCACACCACACCTGGCTCCAAGCTGACGCGTGCGTGGGGGTGGGCGTGCGCTCCCCGCTCCCCCGCCTTTGTTATTTTCGATAGACCACGTACGCTCGAGTCTCGGTCGTCTCTCGAAGCTCACGACTGCCCTTCCCCCCGCGGCCTCGGCGCCTCAGTCGCCCCCTCGGAGGCGCCTCCCTCCGCTAGCGCTAGTCCCTCCCTGTACCGCGTGTCGGGAGACTCTGGACGCAGGCCCGCCTTTTCGCCCGCCGGGGGGGGTTCTTTTCCCAGGTGGGCGGAAAGACCCCCCCCCCCCCCCACCCCTTCCCCCCCACTCCCCCCCCAACCAAGATCTCGCCCGCACCGTCGCTGTGCGTCGTGCTCCGCAGCCGCAGGGTCTGTTGCTCTCTCTGCCGTGCTCGCGCGGCGGTCCCGCAGGAACCCGCGCCTGGCGGGCCCACCCGCACGCCCGCGGCCGCAGGCAAGCAAGGCGAGCTTGCTGGCGTCTTTGCCAAGCGCCAGCATGCCAAAAGACACCTCGCAGCGCCCGAGACGTGACCAAAGCCTAACCCCCCCCAAGAGCAGCCGGTCGACGTCGGCACCAAGCGCGCGGCCGCCGTGCGCCGCCGAACCGACAGGGGCGCGCAGCAGTAGAGAGCAATCCACCACCATACCGTTTTTCTGGCGGGTGGCATCCTCGGACATCACCAACTATGTATGTATGTAGAAAGATGAACAACAGTCAGGCTCGGACTGGACACCAACGCGGTATGGGTTGACGCGGGACAGATGATGACGACACGCACGAACGACACACAGACACAAACAAGCTCACAAGACACACAGCCAGCTCGCTGCCACACACCCTGAGTTGGCGTACACATAACTCAGGGCCACATTCTTCCTGTCGCCCCCCCCAGCACTCCAAGGTGCCAAGAGTTCTTAAGATACAAGAGAAACAAACAAGGGCACAACAAACAACAGACGACAGGAAGTAACGTGCGAGGCTAGAGCAGGCTTGCTCGTCCTCTAGCAATCTCCGCCGACCGCGAGGCCGGACTAGACCGTGTGTGGGGTCATGTGAGGTGTCTCTGGTCACTCTCCTCAGAGGCTAGCCGCCAGTTGCGCGCGCCGAACCCCCCAAAGCCCGGAATCCACGATGAGTGCTCGCGAGCTTAGCAGCCCGCCCGGGGCACGCGAGCTTAGCAGCCGCGCAGGTTCCCTGAGCTGTTCCGACGCGGCCGTGCTAGCGGCTAAGCGAGGCGAGGAGGAGGCGGTGCTGGCGTGGCTCGAGGGCGGCGGGCGGGTCGACGCGACGTACGAGAGGCGAGGCGTGAGCGGCCTCACGCTGCTGATGGGCGCCGCCTTCAACGGCCACGAGCGGATGGTCGAGCTGCTGCTGCAGCGCGGCGCGAAGGTCAACCTGCAGAACAGCAACGGCCGCACCGCGCTGATGGGCGCCGCTCATCACGGCCACGAGCGGGTGGTCGAGTTGCTGCTGCGGCACGGCGCTGAAGTCAATCTGCAGGACCTCAAAGGCTGGACCGCGCTGATGAGCGCCGCCGACAACGGCCACGAGCGGGTGGTCGACCTGCTGCTGCAGCGCGGCGCGGAGATCAACCTGCAGAAGAGCGAGGGCGACACCGCGCTGATGGACGCCGCCGAGAGCGGCCACGAGCGGGTGGTCGAGCTACTGCTGCTGCAGCACGGCGCAGAGGTCAACCTGCAGGACAACGGCGGCGACACCGCGCTGACGGTCGCCGCCGACAGAGGCCACGAGCAGGTGGTTGACTTGCTGATTCGGCACGGCGCCGAGATCAACCAGCAGAACAGCAATGGCTACACCGCGCTGATGAGCGCCGCCAACAACGGCCACGAGCGGTTGGTCGAGCTGCTGCTGCGGCACGGCGCGGAGATCAACCTGCAGAGCAGCAAAGGCTTCACCGCGCTGATGCTCTCCGCCGGCAAAGGCCACGAGCGGGTGGTCGACTTACTAATACGGCACGGCGCGGAGCTCAACCTGCAGAGCAGCAACGGCGGCACCGCCCTGATGCTCGCCGCCCGCAATGGCCACGAGCGGCTGGTCGAGTTGATGCTGCAGCACAGCGCAGAGGTCAACCTGCAGGACAGCAAGAGCATCACCGCGCTGATGATCGCCGCCAGCCACGGCCACGAGCGGGTGGTCGAGCTGCTGATGCAGCGCGGCGCAGAGGTCAACGTGCAGGACAGCAAAGGCTTCACCGCGCTGCAGTACGCCGCCCAGGAAGGCCACGAGCGGGTGGCTGAGCTGCTGCTGCAGCACGGCGCTGAGGTCAACAAGCAGGATAGCAACGGCGACACCGCGCTGATGCTCGCCTCCCTCCACGGTCACGAGCGGGTGGTCGAGCTGCTGATTCGGCACGGCGCGAAGTTCGACCTGCAGAGCAGCAACGGCAGCACCGCGCTGATGGCCGCCGCCAACAAAGGTCACGAGCGGGTGGTCGAGTCGCTGCTGCAGCACGGCGCTGAGGTCAACCTGCCGTACAGCGACGGCGGCACCGCGCTGATGGCCGCCGCCTACAGGGGCTGCCCCGCCGTTGTGCTCCGCCTGCTTCGGGCTGGCGCAGATGCAAAGGCTCGCTCTGCAGACGGCAGGTCCGCGCTGCATATCGCCAAGGAGAAGGCGGCCAAGGTGCTAGCTACTGCCGACGCCGCCAGTGCTCCTGAAGTGGACCACGCCGGGTGCGTGCGCGCTCTCACAGAGCACGCAGCGGCGCTGAGGGAGGCGGAGGCGGCAGAGAAGGCGGCGGAGAAGGCGCTCGAGGCCAAGGGGCGGCGCGAGCAGCGCGAGCGGGAGGAGGAGGCGGCGGCGCGAGAGCGCGAGCAGGCAGCACGACAGCGCGAGGCGGAGCGAGCGGCGGACGAGGCGCGCCGGGCGGCGGGTGCGGCGGCGCTGGAGGAGCAGAGGCGAGCGATTGCGGCGGAGGCGGAGGCGAAGCTGGCCGCTGAGCGCGCGGCAGCAGAGGAGACGCTGCGGGCGAGGGAGGCGGAGAGGCGAGCGGCTGAGGAGGCGCAGCGAGAGGAGCAGCGGGCGGCCGCGGCGGCGCGCAAAGCCGCTCAGGCAGAGGCGGCGCGGCGCGAGAAGGAGGCTGCGGACAGGAGGGCGGAGGAGGAGAAGGCGAGGCGGCGCGCAAAGGCGGCGGAGGCAACGGCGGCCAAGAAGGAGGCCAAGGCGAAGAACAATAAGGCCAAGAAGGCGCCGTCTGCTTTCGCGCTCGAGGAGGAGCGGAGGGCGAAGGCTGCGGCAGAGGTTCGCGCACAGGAGGAGAGGGCGGTGCAGCTGGCTGCTGAGCAGGAGTCGGCGAGGCGGGCGGAGCGAGAGGCGGCAGAGCTAGCGGGTGCGGCAGAGCGGGCGGCGCTGCGCGAGGATGCGGAGCTGGCAGAGGCGCTGCGCCGGTCCGAGGTGGATGCGGAGGAGGCGCTGGCGCGTCGGGTGTCGCGGTGCGAGGAGGCGGTGAGCAACGAGTCGACCGGCGGCGGTGGGGACTTGCAGCGGCGTGTCGATCGGCTGGAGGCGAGCCTCGGCGCGGCGACCGAGGGCAGCCTCGAGGAGCGGGTCGGCGCCATCGAGCGCTTGATCGCGCCAGAGGCGGCAGAGGCGGCGGAGCCGCCTCCGCCAGTCACTGAGCCGCTTGCTGCTGTCTCACTAGCCGACGCCGGCCTCGACACGGGGCGGCCGGCTGCCCCCGAGTCTACGATGGGGGGAGAGACGTCGTGCATCATATGCTTCGAGCGGCCGAAGTCTCACCTCGCGGTGCCGTGCAGCCACTTGTGCGTCTGCGGTCCATGCTCCGAGCTGATGCGAGAGTGCCCTTACTGCCGCGAGCCAGTGATGATGTGGCTCGCCCCGCGCCCTGTCTGATCAGCGGGGTGGAACCCATCCGATGGGAGGGTGCAGGGTGTGCTGCAGGGTGGAGGGAGGGGAGTTCATCACAATCACGCGTCATGCCAGTGTGTTTTGTGCTCTCGCCACCACATCCAATGCAAGCGTCGCATGGACGGACGGACGGCTCCGACGGCCTGGTGGACGTTCAGCACTCTCAGCGTCGCTGTGCACGACTGCCTTCGAGTCCGTTGACAAAAATTAGCACAAACGGTGCGCCGTCGCCGGCGCTACAAATGGCAATGTCCGCGCCACTCATGCGGTCATGTCCGCGCACCCCTGACCGTGGCGCGTTCCCCGCCGAGACTTCATAGTGTAACAACCCAACCCTGTATGGTTACTTCCCCCAGGATTGGTCTTCTCTGCCTGCGGGAACACCCTCGGGCGGCCGGGTGGGGCTGCGGCTGGAGCTAGCATGGCTCGATAGAGCCGAGACCCCGTGTTGAGGCGGCGCTCCTGTGGGCGGCTGTGGAATCGGGAGATTCGACCTTAGATCTCCAGTTATCTCATCCCAGTGGATGGACGTCCGGACGTCCCTTTGTGTTCCTCTCGCCGTCCGCCAGCGAGACGCTCTGTCGCTGGCGGCCGCAGTTTTCTGTGAGGTGGGAGGAGAGGAGAGGACGCAGTGAAGATGGCGCAGCAGCAGGCCCCGCCAGCTGCGCAAGCGCCCATCGTCGTCGTCGTTGACGAAGTTCAGATCACCAGTGATGCAGCGCTCGTTCTCGCTCCAGGGGCTCAGCACGTAAAGGACCACACGCCTTGTCTGAGTTGGACCACGGTGTACGACAATGCAGGAGCAGTGACCAACTACACCCTGGGGCAGAGTGACGCCAAGGGCGCCTTCCTGCCGCGGTGCCGGTTCAGCGTGGACCAGCAGACAGGCACCCTCCTCGATGGGAACCACGTTCTCAATGTGCTTTTCAATGGGGCATTCTGGTCGCGGCTTCTGACCGCTCTGGACGCGGCGAACCTCTTTGCCACTTCCATGGAGAAGATCGGCGTGCTGCACCAGCGGCTCGCCGGTCTGGCAATGGCCAACCCAGGGGTCTGGGTGGTCTCGCACTCGGACATCTTTCTCGGTGAAGACTTTGACGCGCCCGCCGTCCCAGCGCCAGCCGCGGGGAGAGGCCGGGGCCGCGGTCGAGGGGGCCAAGCCGCGGCCGTGGTGCCGGTCGTGCCAGGACCACAGGACCTGCTCTTCCTTACGCAACTCCCGCTTCGCGCGCTCGAGGCGGGCGGGGAGTTGCCTCTGCTGCTGTACTCGCTGCTCTCTTTCCATTTGGGACCGATAGCTACAAGGGCGGCCCGCCTGCCCCTGGCAGCCCCCGCGAGACTCACGGCCGGCCTTCTCCAAGGAGCTATCGTGCAAAGCGTGGGGGCGGCGGCCGCCAACCCTACGATGCTCGCGCTCCAAATCCCTCGCTTGCTCAAGGGCGCTTCGCTCCCCGTCATCTTTCAGTCTACCTCCGCGGACCCACACACGAGGCTCGAGGACTTCACGGACTTGCTCCGCATGCAGGCCGGCGGGGTAGATGAGAGGCGGCGCATCGAGGAGCGGCGGATCATGCTCGCCACCTCGCTGGGTGCGCTCTACCAGCTAGTCATCCAGCCGTCGCCCGACTGCAAATACCTTGGTGAGCCGTCTGGCCGCCAAGATTCTGACCGCGCCTCAGCTTAAGCTCTCGCTGGCGGACCAGCTGGCCATCCTCGCGACGGCCGTTCATGATCGGCAGCACCTCGTCCAACCGGGGGCCTCCGCGGAGGATGCGGTGACCGCGCTGGTCGCGGAGGACCTCCTCTACGACGCGGGGCGCCCCGCGCCTAGCGTGGCAGGCGGGCCGGCATCCTCGGGCGACCAGCCGCCGCCGCCCAAGCTTTTGGAGAAGGCTCTGATGATGCCCAACTTCCAGGCTCTGGCCAGGCGACGCTCGAGGAGGTGCGCACCGTCAAGCGGCACGCCTTCAAACCGAGAGTAGAGTCGGATCCCCCGTTCGATCCCGCTCCACCCGACTACACGTCTGCAGCGCTCATGAGGCACCGCTCGGAGCGCTTAAGCGACCCTACGGATTTGTTGTGGTCGATTTTTTGGCCAAAAAGCCCAATGTGAACACAGTGTTGCTAGTATTAACAGTAACAACAGAACAATACTCAATAATGGGGCTCCCCAACAAACGTTAGGCCAGCTGAATAATAAGGAAGGCCTGCCAGTGACCCACGTCCCACGACAATCTCCAGCGTCCAGTGCGGGTAATACCTACCGCTGAACTCACAGCGCGCCCGCGCCCGCAGGCAGCTCCTGCACGTCGCTCTGCGCACACGTGCCCTCGGCCCCGGCCCTGGGTCCGGCCCCTGCGCCCGTAACGCCTGCGCCCTCGTGGTACAGCCACATGCCGGCGGCGCGGATGTCGTGGATCTTGGCGGCCGCTGAGACGCGCCAGTTGTAGTGGATGGCGTACGCTGGCCACCCCGCACTGCGACCTGCGCTGCCGCCGCCGCCGCCGCCGCCGCCGCCGCCGCGAACGCCACCGTGCCGCCGGCGGCCGGTGCCGCCCACGAGCAGCTTGAGCGCCTTTTGCGCGCTCCCGTTGGGCCACTCTGCGCACGGTAGGAGGTGGAAGGGAGAATCGGTCGCCTTGAGCGCATAGTTGACGGCGCCCTGGTCGAGGCCGTCGAAGCCGCCCTTGAGGGCGTCGCGCCGCAGCGCGGCGGCGATGACGGCGCGCGCGGCCGCGTCTGCGCGGATGAAGTAGAGGCCGGTGCAGACGACGTCGGTAATGTCGGCCCACTGGTTGGAGACACCCAGCGCGCCGTAGCGCCACTCGTGCCGCGGGTTGCCCATCGCGTCCTGGTCCGCGCACACGGCTCTGTGTTCGCCGCTCTGCTGGAAGACGAAGCTCGCCGCCGGCCGCACCCGGCGGACGTACCCGAAGGGACTGCGCAGGAACACCACGTCGGTGTCGGCGAAAAGGTACCACTGGCCCTCGGGCCGGGAAGGGTCCGCCATGAGCGCAGCCTGCGCGCGCAGCTTGGCGACGGTGTGCCTGCGGTACGGCAGGCTCTTGTACATCACGTTGCGGTCCAGCCGCCCCAGGCCGCCATCACTGCTGCTGGCGCCGCCGCCCGGCGGCGCGCGCGGCGCGTGGCTGGCGTCGCATCGCGCCGTGCCAGGCGGGAAGGACACGAGCACCCCCGCGAGCTGCGCGCACACGCCCGCGTCCAGGGCGAAGACGAGGACGCGGTGCTCGGGCCGCACGAAGGGGCGAAGAGTGCACAGCATGTTGCCCGTCAGGGACACCAGCTCCAGCGATGTGGCGACGACGACGACCGGCGAGAGGAGCGACGCCGCGCCGGGCCGCGCTCCCGTGCTCGGCCGCGCATCCGCCCCCGCATCCGCGGCCGAGCTGGGTGGCGCTGCGGCAGCCGGCTCCGCAGGCTCTCGCGGCTCAGGCGTGGCCGCTGCACCCGTGGCGCGCACAGCGTCGAGCTGCTGGTGCATGGCGTTGACTCCATGGCGAGCTGGCACTCGAGAGGGGCCCCCCATCCCACTACCGGGTAGCATTCCCCCGCGGTCCCTCGCGGCCGCGTGACGCCGCACCAATGGCGCGCTGTGCCTCGTCCGCGAGCGCCACCCAGAGCTGCACCGACAGTCACTGCAGCCAAACGGCATCCATGTGGGCAATTGTTCACTTACTGTCGCATTATCTCTTAAGTGGCGGCCAGAAGATCCGCCCTGGGATCTTCGGCGCAGGGCGCCGTCACCGGCCCCATGAGCCCCCTACGAGGCCATTCAGTGCTCATGTGGCACGACCTGAGCAGGCCTAGCAATGCCTCGGGCCGAGCGGCGCCCAGAATTGTTGGTGCTGGCCAGCAACGTGGCCGGCGAGTGCCGTCGTTGCATTGGTGGCGACCACCGCTGAAGCGGTCAGCAGGTGGGAAGGCATCGCTCTCTTTGTGAGGGTATTGTACGTATTCATTGTCTGGTCAATACTTCTGCCTGGGTGGCACCTGTGTGCCCAACATGGCGACCCGTGGCCTCCCTCGTGAGTCCACCTCGCGCTGATCATTCTCGTCGCTAGCTCAAGCCGAAAAAGTGGTCCACCGACACCAGGAGGAGTACAACCATCATGGCCGCAGCCTCAGACTGACCGGGTTAGGTCATCTTACCGGCTTGGTGGCCCAGAAGCGCGACATTTGCTGCCCGCAGAGCGCTAGCAGCCCACTAGCCGGCACGTCTGTGCGTCGTGCGGGGCTGAACTTCAGGCACTCTGCACGCGGCTTGTCGTCTAGAATAGCTCAACCCCGGCCAGTGAGTGATGGATCTGATCATAATCAATCCCTACTGTGCTGGGGGGCTCTCAGATCAGCCGTTCAGAGCTCTGACATTGGTTCCCGGCAGAAGATCCTCCAGAGGATCTTCTGCCGTCAGCCGAAAACCCGTTTTCAAACGAGACACAATGACCCAACAATGGCCCCCACGGCCAGCTGGACATGCAGCCGACCCGGCTAGGCCAGCTGGGCCATCGGGGCGGCCACCAGCGGCCGTAGGACCGCGCTGCGGTGTCGAAAGGGGCTGGAAGATCCGCCCTGGGATCTTCGCCACCTAAGAGATACTTATAGAAATTACCGTCGGACGCGCACCAAAGTTTGTGAGTAGCGAGACTACTTGTCAAACCTGGAGACTACTGACCTACTCATTGAGCTCTATCCAATGGTACCCTCCCCATCAAAAGTACTCCAGAACAGGCAGAAGCCAGAACATGGCAGGTTGATGGTGCGTGCGATGGATGGCGGATGAAGCGCCGCGGAAGGTGTGCAAGGTCGCGGCGAAAGGCTGCCGTGGCAACAAGCCAGACCCAGAGCCTCCGTCAGCAATGGGAGCCCCCCGCGCCCCGGGCTGGCCCGGCTCGGTCCGCGGGCTTGCCCGCCTGCCGCGGGCTGACCCGGGTGAGAAGCGGGCTGGCCCGCTACCCGGGCCAGCCCGGGTCGAAGTGGGCTGGCCCGGAGGGGCGGCCAGCCCGGGGGGGCGGGCCAGCCCGGGCTCAGCGGGCCAGCCCGCGTGCGGGACGGTCGAGCCCGGGGGGGCGGACCAACCCGCGTGCGGCGCGGGCCAGCTGCAGCTCGGGGGGGGGGCGGGTAGGGGGCGGGCCAGCCCGGGCTCAGCGGGCCAGCCCGGGGTATAAGCTTATTTTTCAGTTTTAGCATACAGGATTGGTGTACCTGCTCAAAGAACACTTGAATATCATGTGGAATGCACCTTGAAATACCGCCCGTAAGCACGCGACACCCCAGATCTCCTCGTACTTTCTCGGACACAATCTACTGACACGCGCGCACCACCGGGACTGCGGTGGGCGCGCTGCGGCCGCACGTCTACCTTCGTCATAGTGCCACGACGTGCGGCCTAGATTTAGCACACGCGCCTCTGCTCGCATGAGCGGCCGCACATTGCTCGGTACCCCCCCTGCACATCTAAAGCCATCCCTGCTGCTAGGGGGGGGGGTCTGACCCCCCCAGCAGCAGAACGCTGCTGCTGGGGGGGGGTCCCGACCCCCCCCCAGCAGCAGAGCGCACGGACCCAGCTCTCCCGCCTCTTCGCCGCCGCCGCCCCTCCACCCTCGGCTCGTGTTTGAGCGTACGCTCGAGGCGGTTGTGTTCACCGCGCCTTCGAGCCCGGTTGGCAGTAGGAGGCCCCGCCGGTGAGACCACTGATTTGGGTGTCGCCCATAATTTCTCGCCACTGGAACACATGCTTCTTACAGCTGCTGTCCGTACAGAGATGCCGGCACCCCCCACAGGCAGAGCGCTCCTGCTGGGGGGGGGGATCCGGACCCCCGCAGCAGCAGTGCGCTGTTGCTGGGGGGGGGGGGTCCCGACCCCCCCAGCAGCAGAGCGCCCCCAGCAGCAGAGCGCTGCTGCTGGGGGGGGGGGGTCGGCCATGGCTTTAGATGTGCAGGGGGGGTACCGAGCAGTGTGCGGCCGCTCCATACACTCATACAATGAGTTGTCATCACCCGTGAGTGCGAGATAGGGCTAGCAGTAGGCAGCTAGCCTATGAGGAGGGCGTCCATAGACACCTCACTAGACCCCACACACGGTCTCGTCCGTGCCTCGCCGGCCGGCGAGATTGCTAGAGGTGGAGCAAGCCTGCTCTAGCCTCGCATGTTACTTCCTGGGCCGTCTGTTGTTTGTTGTTCCCTTGTTTATTCTCTTGGCACCTTGGAGTGCGGGGGGGGGCGACAGGGAGGATGTGGCCTTGAGTTATGTGTATGCCAACTCAGGGTGTGTGGCAGCCCGCTGGCTGTGTGTCTTGTGAGCTTGTTTGTGTCTGTGTGTCGCTCGTGCGTGCCGTCATCATCTGTCTAGCGTCCACCCATACCGCGTTGGTGTCCAGTCCGAGCCTGGCTGTTCTTCACCTTCCTACATAGGAACATACATATATACAGGAGGGGGGCGGGGGCAACTCATGTAAGGTAAGGTCATAGACACTTGTGTACTGGCGTAAAGTATGTTTTGAACTTCCTCTCACACGCGTGCACCATCCCCAGTCGTCTTGAACGAGCGGCCCCGGCTCTCACCAAAGGCCCCGCCTCTCCTCTCCCGCATCGCCGCCACCGCCTCCACTGCCATGCGAGGCATCCCCTGGGCGCGCGTCCGCTGGCGCATGCTCCGCGCCCAGAGGCAAGCGCCAAAGGTGGCGACGACGGCGCACGGTGTCGCGACGGTGGCGAGGATGCTCAGCGCGCTCATCGACCAGAGCGGCGCTGACTCCCTGTTGAGGTTGTAGAGCGCGAGCAGCCCCACCGAGTACCCCACCGTGAAGACCACCCGAGACGCCGCGTCGATCCGGCGCCCCACGCCGCGCCAGTAGGCCAGCGCGCGCCGTCTTCCCACCGTGTGTGCCATGTCGAACGTGGCGAAGGCCATCTGCACCTCCTCGAGCGGCTTGTCGAGACCGCACCGACCGAGCGTGCCCATGCACAGCTGCACGAACTGCATGCGAGAGAGGAACAGCTCGCCGCCGCGCAATCGCATCGTCGCCTTGGCCTCTATCGACCAGCGCCGCGCCACCGGCGCCGGCCTCTCGGCCGCCAGCGCTGCGGCGTCCAGGTCAAAGGAGACGGCCTCAAGGATGCGCCGTCGCCGCGTGGGCGCGTCTAGCTCAAAAGCCACGAAGGAGAGGAAGCGATCGGCGGTCGCGCCATCGACGTAGCCGGCGCCGTCGTTGTCGAGCACGAAGAAGAGCTTCTCGTAGTAGAGCAGCCGCTGCGCCTGCCGCTCGCGCAAGCCACTGATTACTAATGGCTAATCACTAGTCACTACTCACTAATTAGCCGCTGCGCCTGCCGCTCGTGCAGCCGGAAGCGGCGCTTGTGATACTTGGTTCCTCGGCCGCGCGCGGCAGTCGCGCCCGCCGCGCGGACCGCCGCCTAAGAACAGGGCGATGGGACGAGGCTGTGAGCGGTGGACTGCCGCTGGAGGGGGCTGTCTTCAGCAGAGGCGCCAAACGGCACGCCACCCGTGGCCGAGGGAGGGAGAGGGGCGGGGGCGATGTCGCCTCGGCGAGGGCCGCCTCCACCACGGGAGACACCTCCGTGTCGGCGGCGGCGACGGCCGCAGCCGCCTTGTGGCCCACTGAGCCAAGCTCCGCCGATGGGCCGGCAATGGCGTCGCCTCCCGGGGTGGGGCCGTCGCCCGACGGGGCGTCCCTCCCGTCGGAGCCACGCTCCGCCTTGCTCTCCGCCCGGCTTTGCTCACGCTCTGCGGGGGCGCCACTCTCTTCGACCGCCGCCGTTTGCGGTGCTGCCTGGAAGAGGCCGAGCAGCCTACGTCATGAGCACGCCAAAGCCAGGCTGTGAATACGGTGTTCGAGCGAGGTCTTCTGAGGACACCGCGTGAATGCGAGGGGCTGCGAGTACAATGAATACAGCGGAATGCAGCGGATCACGGCCGAATACGTGTCCTCTCGAGCGCTGGTTGGAAACACACAAGAATGCGTTCTCCCGCTTTCTAGCCCGTGCAGCCTCTCTCGTAGCGGTAGCGCCCCTCCGGCCTCCGCCCCCTCCCCCTCCTCCTCCCCCTCGCTGTCGCTCGGCGGCAGCGAAGTGCCCGCCGCCGCCTCAAGCTCGCGGCGCGCTTTTTTCTCCGCGGCGACAGCGGTCTCGGCGGCGTGGCGGATGCGGGTGAAGAGGAGCGTGAGGACCGACTCTCGCTCATCGGCCGTCTCGCACGCGGCGAGCGAGCGGAGGATGCGCGGCGCGGCGAGCCTCGTGTTCAGGCAGTGGGCGAGGGTGTGAATGCAGAACACGTCGAGGGCTACATCTCTTTTCTTTCTTTCTTTCAGGGATGCTCGAGAGCTAGTTGGGATACGCGTAACTAGCTGGGGTATACATCTAGGGCGGCGAGCCAGGAGGGCAGCAGCGAGTCAGACTCGTAGTGGTGGAGGAAGAGGACGAGAGTCGACTCGAGGAGGGAGAGGAGGGTGACGAGCTCGTTGATGAGGAGGAAGACATCCACCTGTTGGTTTATGAGCGGCCAGTATCATGCGCATTGCAAATCGAGCCTGGGGCGTGGCCTAGTTGGTACAGCGCATGTTCTCGGCATGTCTCGGGTTGTGTCTCCGGAGAGCTCGCTGATGTTCGGGAGGAGCCGCACCCAGAGGAGCTCGGAGCAGATAGGCATGAGCTGCATCACGACGAGCTTGCCTATGGCACGCTTCGGGCCACAACGACGTATGCGTGGCTCACGGAACGGCGAGCTGCGCGTCGCACACGCGCCGAACTGGGACGCCACCACGAGAGTGACCCCGAACGAGAGCCGCTCACCAACCTACTCTCACACCGGGCCGCAGGGTGAGGCGCCACCGCCGCCGAGTGCCGGGGCGGGGCAGGCCGCCCTCGACCGCTGGCGAGACGAAGAAGACGGAGATGGCGAGGATCGCAAGGGTGGTCGGCGGGAAGATGAGGACGTAGAAGTAAAAGAAGGAGGCGTTGCGCCTACAAGGGGAGTTGCAGCCGCGTCGCGCTCGCGTCGCGCCGCCTGCACTTGTGGGGGGGGGGGGTGTGGGGGGTGTGTGGGGGGGAGGGCGATGCGCCGAATCGTGACTTCGTACAGGACGACGGGCCACGGGTCGTCGCCGCAGCAGACATAAGTCAGGTTGCGCACGACAGCAGACAGGGAAAGCAGGTCCCACTCCGTGAACGAGGAGCCCGCGCTAGCCTCCACCAAGGTGGCGGAGGAGTCGACATCGTCCTCGACGAAGTCGCCCTCGTATCCGCCGTCCAACAGGCCGACGCGCTGCCGCTGTCCGTCGAGCATCCACCCGCCCACGTCGATCGGACAAGTCAGCTTGTGGTCGAACGGGAAGCGCGCGAGCCCGTCAAACTTGCAGAGCACGTCCATCACGCCCGGCCGTGACCAAAAGGCGCCACCCGTGTGGTTAACGAGGACGTCTGACGGCTGCAGCGTATCCTCGAACCCCTCGCCCAGGTTATACGGCCGGATGTCGGGCAGCCAGATCTCGTTCACGCCGCGATTGTTCGATGCGCCGTCGTATCGGCTGGCGGCGCGGAAGTAGGCTGACGTCACGTTGTCATAATCGCCCGGCGACCAAACCAGTCGCGGGTCCGTCCAGCTCTGCCGAAACCATACTTTGAGCAGCATATGGCTCGACGCAGCACTCACGCCAACCACCTTGAATACGCGGAGATTCACGAGTACGTCCGCACCTGCTGTTGGCGGGACGAGAGGGTCGTAGCCATCCAGAAGGTCGTGACGCAGATCCTTGCTGCTCTTGCTCGCGGCGAAAGCGGCGAAAGGGAGCATGCCAAATCAGGCCGCCACCAGCCGCCGCGAGGTCGTTACCGCGCGAACACATTCTTTTTTAGATGTTCATCTTCTTCTGAGCTCCATAGTCGATCAACTCCACGCCGCCTTGCATCGTCCTATTCTCTATTCTCAGCGGCCGCTGAGAGCCCGAACACACACATGCTCGTGCTGAGCTCTCTCCTCCTGCTTGGCTACCGCGCCGACGCGCTCGCCGGCGGTGTCGTGCCAAGTAGCAATCAGCCGCTGCGGCGGACGCCAGCGCCCATTGCCGCTCTGGACGCTCGCTATCGCAAGTCGACTGACCTGTACAAGCGCCTCGAGCAGGGCCGCGGCGGTGGCCCGACCCGCCGCGCGGCGCCGGTCACGAAGCCCGTGCTGCTCGCGCCGGCGGGTGGCTGGCCGCAGGTCGAGGCGGCGATCAAGGCGGGCGCCGACGCGGTTTACTTTGGGTGCGCCGCCGGCCTGAACGCTCGAGCGCGCGCGACCAACTTCGGCCTCGACGAGCTGCCCGCGCTGATGGAGCGGCTGCACGCGGCCGGGCTCGAGGGGCGAGTCTGCAATAGACATCGGACTGCAGCACACTCCACGCCGCGGGGCCAGCACGCACACACGGCAAGAGACGGCCGAGAGACTGGCGCCGACGCCCGCCTCGGCAAAACTGCATAGGTACATGTGCGTCAACGTGCTCATCTTTGAGTCAGAGATGGCGCAGGCGGAGCAGCTGGCGAGGACGGCCGAGGGAGCGGGCGTGGACGGTCTCATCGTCCAGGATGTCGGCCTCGCCTCGCGCCTCCACGCCGTCGCTCCCTCGCTGCCGCTGCACGTGCGGCCGTGGGGCGTGGGCCTGGCGTCAGCCAGTCTGGCAGCCTTGTCGGACGCGTCTCGGGACTGTCCCTGCAGGCGTCGACGCAGATGTCCATCTCGGACAGCGACGGCGCCCGCTTCGCGTCGGAGACGCTCGGCGCGCGCACCGTCGTACTCACGCGAGAGCTGTCGATCGACGACATCGCTGCGGTGGCGGCGGCGGTGCCCGGCGCCAACGTCGAGGTCTTCGTGCACGGCCACATGTGTGTGAGCTACAACGGGCAGTGCTTCTCGTCCGAGTCAGGCGGCGGCCGCTCCGCCAACCGCGGGCAGTGCGCGCAGCAGTGCCCTTCCCCTTCTCTGCGGGGCCGGATGCGGCAAGGGGTGGCTCTGCACTTCACACCTCTCGGAGTGAGCAGGCGCCCATCCTAGAGGCGGAAGGAATGTTCTTGTCTCCCAACCAGCGCTCGAGAGGACACGGACTCAGCCGCATTCGGCCGTCTTCAGCGGTACCCACTGTACTCGTAGCCCCGCGTACTCACGCGGTGCTCTGAAGACACTGCACAGTCCCGCATTCCCGCCACGAGGCTGGCGTGAACCGCCACGTAGGTGCCGCATGCCCTACGGCCTGATGGTGGACGGCAGGCTGAAGGAGCTGCGCGACGCGTCGCACTACCTGCTCTCGCCGCAGGAAACCCTGCTACCCACTACTGGCGGTAGTGACGGGCTGTTGACCCCGTCTGATGAAGTCGCCACTGACTGGCGGTAGTGACGGGCTGTTGACCCTGTCTGATGAGTAGCCCCGCTAGCCACTGGTGATAGTGACGGGCTGTTCTGCTCCGCCGCAGGACCTCGTAGTTGTTCATGCAGGATGACCAGTCCTGAGACCGAACTAGCCCGTCTGCCCTCGCCTCAGGACCTCTGCGGACTCGAGCATGTCCCGCGGCTGTTGGAGGCCGGCGTGCGCACCTTCAAGATTGAGGGGCGACTCAAGTCGGCGGAGTACGTGTACGTCTCGACCCTCGCGTACCGCAGGTTGGGGTTAGGGTTCGAGGGTTAGAGGGTTAGAGGGTTAGAGGGTTAGCTGAGTACGTGTACGTCTCGACCCTCGCGTACCGCAGGTTGGGGTTAGGGTTAGAGGGTTAGAGGGTTCGAGGGTTCGAGGGTTAGAGGGTTAGAGGGTGAGAGGGTTAGGGTTAGCTGAGTACGTGTACGTCTCGACCCTCGCGTACCGCAGGTTAGGGTTAGAGGGTTAGAAGGTTAGAGGGTTAGAGGGTTAGAGGGTTAGAGGGTGAGAGGGTTAGGGTTAGCTGAGTACGTGTACGTCTCGACCCTCGCGTACCGCAGGTTAGGGTTAGAGGGTTAGAAGGTTAGAGGGTTAGAGGGTTAGAGGGTTAGAGGGTGAGAGGGTAAGGGTTAGCTGAGTACGTCTACGTCTCGACCCTCGCGTACCGCAGGCCTAACCCTAACCCTAACCCTAACCTTTCGCCTAACCCTACCCCGAACCTTAAACCCTGACCCTCGCGTACCGCAGGGCGATCGACGAGGCGTGGGGGGCGCGTGAGGCTGTCTCCGCCTCCCACACCGACGTCCTCGACGCCGCGGCGCGCGAGAGACGCGCCACGCCGCCGCCGCTCGCGCCCGACGCGCTGCGGCAGGTGTTTGCGCGCGCGCAGGACGAGGAGCGCGGCCCACTAGATGTGGGGAGATATGGGGAGATATGCCCCGCCTAGATGCGAGGGATACGGGAGCCGCAGTCCGCCGCACGCAGCCGCCGTCGGCGGAGCCCGCCTCCCCTCCCTCAGCTGGCGTGCTGTTTGACGCTCCAGGAGCACGACGGCCACTCGGCCGGCTTCTTCGACGGGCCGCGCCACCAGACCTTCGTCCGGGGCCTCTCGCCGTCGCACCGCGGCGTGTGCGCGGGCACCGTCGTGGCGGCGCCGCGCAAGAACACCGTCCGCATCTCGCGGCGCGTGGAGCTGAGGTCTGTCCAACCCCGCCACCGCGGCACTCGCCACAGCCCCCCTTTCTTTCCCTCTCATTCTCAGTACTCTTACTTTGGGTCTTCTCAAGTTTTTTTTTTTAT